TCCAAAGCCATGTGCATCAAGAGAGCCAAGAGGAGGAGAAAGAAAAGCAAAATTTTAAACTTCCTCTGGAGCAGAATCTGCAGTCGGCGTAACATCCTCTCCAAGCTGATACACGTGGCAAGGAGCGAACATCCACGTGTGGGTAGGACAGAGTTAATACTTATGCGGTGTGATCCCCTTGCCAAAAACAAGAAGGATGGAGAAGTCCCAAGCAGTGTAGCACCCTGGATTTAGAGTTTCAGCGTTAAAAAACAAGGGCAATGCAGAAGTTGGGGTTTGCAGGTGAAAACTAAGCTAGCAACACCTGTCACCTTCTCTTCTGCTGCTGTTGCTGTTCAGGACAAAAGGTGATTGTGTCTCTCCATAGCAGTGAGTCCGGAGCAGCTCCAAGGTCCCTTGTGGAGAGGACCCCCTGGATGTGGCAGCTGTCAGCAGGACAGAGAGAAGAAGGGAGGTTGCAGCTTGGTTTATCAATGTTGATAAGAGAAGAGCAGGCAGTGCCAAGGTTAGAGTGAACAGGGCAAGTTCCAGATCAGTTTCAGCAAATTGTTCAATGACAGAAGTGACTGCAGACAATCCCCTCACCTAATCCACCCTGCAGCCTCTCTCCCAGACTGCTCTTCACATACTCTAGTACCCCCCTCTGTTCACACTGACATACAATCATACATAGCCCCACACACTCACCCTGACATACCCACTCACATACCCCCCAGTCACCTTGCCATATACACTAATATGCCCTCATCTACATCTGCATTTATATCTACGTGCATGCACCTACATATTCATCCACCTATAAAGAACTTGCTCCCACCTCCTGCTCGCAATGGGACACTCACAGATAACCACACACATATGTAAATATATTCACTCAACCACATATACACTAACATCCCCCCTCATACCTACAAGGCCTCTTGAACATACCAACCTCTTCACGGACATGCAGACACAGAGACACTCATACTGGATATATCAACAATTTAAGTATTGGCAGAGCTAGAAGAGAGGGACGGGACTGGCACATCAAGAGTGGCTGCAGATCAGGAGTGAGGTGTGCTGGCAAAGCTGCTTTAGGGGTCCCAGGCTTGTTGCTGTAAGTCAGGAGCAAGGTGGATGGTACAACTGCTTTGGGGAATCCTAGAACTGGAATAATAGAGGATGTTTTGGGTCAGAATTTAGGTACATCATCAATTCTGGGGTGGGGTTCCAGCACTGGAATAGCAAGGGGTGCTGATGTCATGCTAAAGGTGCCATGGAAGAGTTATTCAAGTACCTGCACTATATGATACCTGCCCCTTGCACTACATTGTTTCTGCTGATACCGCACTTTACAGAATGGGACAAGTAGGAATCAGAAGTGTGAGAGAGGAAGCTGCATCTTCACTCCGTTCCAAATGAGCTTGCTAGCAACTTTCTAAGCCAAACGGGTATGGAGGATTTCAATCTTTTTGAAGAGTTCCTTAACTCTGGGAAACCTTCCTGCAGGAAATTCACCTTTCCAGTGATGTATAGCACACAAAGCTGGTTCCATCAGGAAGGCCAAGGAGGTAAATAGAAGGGAGAGCTTCCCGGATTTAACCAACCCTGCAAAGCTTGCAATCACAAACTTAATGCAACAGGCAGTGGGACCCAGACCATCTTGTGGGTGAGAGGCCAGCACTGGGGTACAGGAGTCAAAGAGATGCCAGTTTTCTCTTTTAAATCTTCCTTTCACCTAGGAGATCTGCGGAAAGGAGAATAGATAACTCAGGGGGCTGGGGCTAAGATGTGAAGCCCTTCGTGGCCATGTCAGCAGATCCAACCTGGGCCCAGGTCCAGGGGGCTGGATGGCACCAGTGGGCACACACAGAGCCCCACTTTCTTTACACACATTCCTCTGACTCAGTATCACTTCCCTCCCTTTCACACTTTTCTTTCTGACACAGTCATACATTCTCTAGGACACATGCACACTCTCTTGAACACATACACACAGAGCTGCTGTGGAGAGAACGATGAGTTCTCTGCTTGCTCATGTCCCATGGTGCAATGGTTGCCTAGTAACGGTCTCCAGCTGATGCTTTCGGCCGCCCCAGATTCTGACAATGCTATATTTCATTCCTTGGCGCTGCAGTAATAACATGGCCGATAGTAAATGCACAGGTCTTATTTCCCCCTTTAGTCTCTGCTAAAGACATTAACTCTTAAGTGCATCCGTGTTCTGGGCTCACATGAGCAGAGCTTTCCAGCAAAATGACTGACTTCAAAGTCCTGCTGACCTAGCCAGGCAGCAGGGAGTGGATAAGGCTGAGGGACTGGGGAAGAGCCCTTCACAGGGCGGCCACTGGTTCCAAGCTGGCCCTGGCCTGGGGGAACAAAGTGGCTCAAAGGGATTGCGGATGGAATACAGACCCATTAGGTTCCTGCTTCCCAAAACCTTTTACCACCATAAGCTATTCAGTGGCTTATGTGAAATGAGTTGGTCACTGCTTTGTGAATGGGGACCCCCCACAACTGAGCAGTGAGGTTATCTCCTATGTCACAGGGCCAGTTCCGAGCTGGGTCGGTGTGTGGGGACCCCACACCTCCCCGGGTCACAGAGCTGGGTTTGAGGTCAGTCTGTGTGCAAGGAGGATCCCATACCCAGCTTGTGGGCTCATCATCATCATCAGTGTATGTATGGGAGCCTGCCCATTCACAAAGATCCCAGCCTTACACGAGAAGTGTTCAAAACCCTCATCCCTTGTGACAACAGTGAGTTAGTGTCACAGTGGGAAGCAGAAAGGAGGCTGGGCACGGCCCTGGCAACCCTCAGGCTCTGCATCACTTCAATGCCAGCATTAAATATTAACCAAAAGATTTTTCATGGAGTCAGGTCTGAGCCTGCAGCGAAACGAGAGATGGAGCGCTTCAAAGCCAACACTCCTCATCTGGCTGTGTAGCAGTGCATCTGGTTGCCATGACATCATTGCAGGGAAGTGATCAGATTCATGCCTCCCATCCCCTGCCTGCTGGAGTTGAGTCACCCTTGGGGCAGGGAGTCCATGATGGTCATTCCCTCTGCAACCTTTCCAGTGCTTTCAAGGACTCAGGGACTCCCCACCATGCAGTCCAATAGCAGAACGTTATGGATCCCTGCTCCCCTTTGCAGTAAAGTCAGTCACAAATGATTCACTGCTTATAATTGGATTTTGAAGGATTGTGGCCTTTCCCAACTGGCAGATAGGAAGGGTCATGCTGGTTGGTGCCGACACATGCCACCCTGCAGTTTTCCACCTCCCTCCCCACCTGTGACTCAAGCACTGTTTGATGGTAGGATGATGGTAACAGCACATGGACTGGGTGCCAGAAAAGTTACACTAGGACAAACCTCTCCTCTCCCTGCCCCTTAACACAGGAGAAACACACTTGCTGCCAGACCAATAGGCATCTCCTTGAAACTCCATTGCTGACGCACTCATGGAACACTCCAGCCAATAGTGAAAATGACTGTGGCTACTCCCAGAACAGGGTAGGCCCCAGAAAGGCCCAAGATTGCTGTCTGTAGAGGGAAGTGTTTGTTGGGAAAGGCATAGGAGAAGATGGGAACCTCCCAGATTCCTAAAGCAAGTGCAACTGGGGTAACTGAGGGGTTTTATCTTCCTGACGTGGGGTCTAATTGCTGGGGACCAGCCAACTTCAGCAGAATGTGCTTGTTTTGTGCAGGTCACAGAGACATGGCTGCAGCCACATGACCACCGGCCAGATAACAGATGGCTGGTGGGGCCAAGAGATTGTTTGCTGAGGTAACCCCCCTCCCTCTGTCTGATCTCTACAGGTCAACCTGACCCTAGCATGGGCACCCATGACCAGGATGCGTGTGTGTGTGTGCACACGTGCACAGCTATTAACTATTCATTAGCATGAAAGAAATAAAATTAAAGAAACTAAAGTGTCGTTTCAGAAACACCATAACAGCTTGCAAACCCACAAGAGGCAGGGCCTTCCAGAGTCACTTGCCTTACTTACCCTCTGGGCCCTAAGGAACGTAAACATAGCACTGAGGAGGATGGAAGACTTAGAACAAAAGGACCAAGATTTTCATTGGCTAAATGTCTGGATCACCCTAGAGCCCTTTCCAGTAGCGCTACGTTCGTTTAAAAAAAGGGGGAGCTGGCTCATTTGTGGGATGCAGCCTGTAATTCCTATGAGGTAAGAGAAACGGGAGTAGATGGCTCAGGGGATATGGGGATTTGCTACTCTAAGTCCCCACTTCCACATTGGCAGGAGGGGAAAATTTATTTCCCATCTGACAGGTGAGGCCTATGTGAAAGGACACAGGGCCTTTGCTCCTACTGCAAGTGGCACAGATAGTCTCATTTAAAAAATAAATTCTGATGGCTTTTGTAATACTAGATTATTTGTTTACAGTAGAATCCATGGTATGCCAAGCATTTTTCAGATGTTCAAGAAAGGATGGGCCCTGTCCTTAGAGCTCACAGTCTAAAGTAAAACAGAGATTAGGGGACAAATGGAGATTTTTTTTTTTTAAATGCAAGTCAATTAGTTCCACTTTTTTCTTTCCAAAGGTCTTGTGGATAGACAAGACCTGGCATGGACTGTAGCATTGTTGGGCTCTCGTCTGAGAATGCCAACAATTCAATGATCCACAGAGACTCAAATCCTCTTTAGAGGTTGCCCCTTTAGATCAGGACTGAGGCAGATTGGCAGAAGGTGTGGAGCGTGAGTAGTTTGCCCTGCTGCTGCTCATATTGAACCTGCTCTAGAGATAAAACAGATGACTTTGCTCTCCAGCATTGTTGATCTGGCAACCTTCCCTCAGCACTGAATCCTTCCACCAGCACAAAACCAAAATTAAAGAGGACAGAACTCCTTCCTCCCACTGCTACAAGTCACCCAGCCAACAGCAGAATAGTGAAGACATATCCCAAGTCTGAACTAAGTCACAGTTGGCTGCCTTCCCTTTGGGCCCCCACCTTGATGGGTTCTAAAGAGAAAACCTCAAACACAAAAGCCACCATTGTAATAAACTTTTTATTGTTAAAAAAAATCCCCATATTCATATAAATAAGCCATATATGTAAAATACAAGTAGGTTCATTCTCTCTCTTAACATCTTCCCCACAGCTTCAAAAAGATAAAACAGACTCAAGAACAAATGTATATTAAATCTCTGATGACTGACAAACTGGCAGCTCACATGGAGCCCCCCCCACTACCAGCCTCTAAACAAGATATGGAGTGTGCACAATACTGGCACCTATGGTGTGCAAAGAGTTTTTGCCTTTCTTAAGGATGCATTCAAATGCTGTATTGAGTTTTCACCCACTCCCCCGTGTGCCAGAAACTGCAAACATTTTAGAGCTATGCCACTGCTCAGTGGGTGTGAAAAGGAGGGGTCAGTTTGCACAGCAACCACCCACTGGGTTTGGATTTCTAAATTGTCACTTTCTTCTCACACCCAGGCAGCTCAGCTGTCATGTTCTTGTCCCAGAGAGTGGGAGAGAGGTGCAGGACAGCAGACTTAGCCCCCAGCACTGTTTGGGACAGTGGGGGAGGATCCTTCACATGACCTGTTCCAAAAGGTCATCCTAGATAGGGACAGAAAGAAAATGAGACGGGAGGAATACTGTCAACATTGATCATCACCTTTCCGTGCTGTAGGAGGGACTTCAGAGAAGAGAGAAAATAGTGTGGAAAGACAGGAGAAGAAGATGGCATGGCTGGATTAGCACCCTTTTCCCTTTCACACACACTCCTAGCTCTGATGTATGGCTTCATAAACAGCACCCCACGGGATAACCTACCCACCAGATCCCTTCCTGCCTAACCTTATTGTTTAAGCAATGAGACACACAAGATCAAAGTGAGATACCCCTTGAATTTGGATTAGATAGCTCAGCAGATTTACATACGCACAGACACAGCGTATGAAAAAGAATCCCCAAATTTTCCTATTAAAAATAAAGCCCTGCCTCAAGATTGTACAAAAACCTGTGAAAGGAATGAAGAAATCCCTTGTATGTGGTGAGCCTTGGACATGAGGAGATGTGTCAGGAGCACTTCCAGACACAAACAGCCAGGCTGCCGCCAAAGAACATGTACAGCAGGTTCTTCACCTCGTGGGTGATCTCAAAGCCAAAGCCCTCACCAATCACTACATGCCACGAAGAGCCAAACTTCTTGTCCATTGTCTCTTTGATCATCTTAGCAGCACTCTGAGGAATAAAGAGAAAGAGTCCAGGAGTATGCAGAGGGAGCAGCAGGTCAGAGAGATGGGAGGGGTGTGTTTGTGCATACAAATTCCCCACTGTTGCCCTCTCTTTAACATGACTCTCAGGAGGAGGGTGAGAGCTAGGGTGAGGTTACAGTACAGCAGAGCTCCACTGAGGAGTACCCAGACTCCTTTGCTGCAGACTTCTGAAAACCCAGTAGGAGATATTAGAGGTCTGTATTTAGAACCTGATTCTCCTCTCACTCACACTGGTTTGAATCAGGACTTGGCCCATTTAAGTCACACAAGAATGAGTTTGACAGGAGAATCAGATCATTATTCTTTATTGTTTTTGAGGGAATTCCTTTTTCCTTGCAGTGAATCAGCAAGACACAACTTTTGTGACTGGGCCAGGCTGTGAATAGCTCCTTCCCCCCACACCACGCATCAGCTAGAGAATGGATGGGAGATGTGGGGAGATGCTGGAGAGTGGCACAAGGCATTTTTCCCAGCCTGAGGGGCAAATGGAAGATATGAAAAACTCCCCCACTCTCCCTTCTAGTTCTTACTCATTCCCAGCACTGAACATGCATTGTAACAAGCAGACTGTCCCCTGTTGCTCAGCGAGAAATCATCTGAGACCAAGGGATAACGGGATGTACTAGACCAAGTATGTTAATTCAGGAGGGAGCAAAACCCCCCTACCTGTACAGCACCGCCAAGTGATATTTGGATCAGAGACCTCTCTCCCACTTCGCTCAGAATACAGAAAACTGGCTTACAAGAGCCAATGGGATGCAGACTAAGTTAGAACAGGCCTGAAGCTTCTCTCAATGCTCGGAGCCTAGTCTGAGACTCCAATCACCTTTCCTCCCCCATCCCTTTTCTCCTTGTGCCCAGTGCAGGAACAAAGCAGCAGAAAATCGGGACCAGAGTGTCTGACCTCCTTTCTGCCTCCCCCTTTACTCCTGCTCCAGAAGACTCTCCAAGTATGGAGACATATAGACAGAGTGATTGCAACCAGCATGTCCAGACAAAATAACCTTCTTAGCACTGACTGTTACCTCATTGTTGGTGGCGTATTTCTCACAGGCGGTGACACACAGCTCCATGGCCTCCACTCGCATCTCCTCTGGCATGTCTGTGTGCTGGGAAAAACAAGAGGGAGCTCAGCAACCCAAAGAGCTGGGCACAAGACAGAAGAGCAGATAAACTGGTGTCAGCTGCTCCCTCCATCATGCCACAGCTGTGCCCTACAAATCAAACATGCTAGCTCCTCTGATCTGTACCACAGAGGACGCAAGAGCATCACCAATAGGAGCTCAAATGCCAAGGGCTTGAGATCAGAAATAGCTCTGCCTTTGGAGAAATGCAAATGTTCAAGATGGAAGAGGCTTATTAGGTCACCTCTTGTTCATCCCTCCCTCCCAGTCAATGCAGAATTGTTCCCTTCTTATATTCCAAAGATTCAGTGATTTAAGTTACAAGTGATGAAGTTTCCAATTTTTCCTTTAGGAGAGTATTCCACAGCCTAACATACCTTGCAGTGATAGCTATTTGAGGCTTTCCCTTCGCTCAGTTTCATCCTTTCACTCCTAGCTGTACCTCTGGGATCCTCCTAAACCATTCCTTTCCCTTCTTGGTGTGCTTCATTGCCACATAGCCAAGTTAGACATATTTAGGGCCAAATTCAGGAGTGTTGTGAGCAGTGGGGAGAGTTGGAGAAGAAAATGGGTGTAAGTGACAAAGCAACGAGACTTGTAACAATTTGGCATTCCTTGTGTTTCCAAGACAAGCGTGACACATACAATGAGTCAAGGTCTGCTCTCAGTTGCATCAGTGTAGTCAATGGGAGACCAGAGTAAGAGAGAGCAGAATAAAGGGTTGAGAAGAGGGAGGTATATGAGAAAAAAATAACTAAAGGGGGAATTAAGATAAAGGGAAGGTGTGTTAGCTGTTCTCCTTCTAATGTCTTTTTCTTATACATCCCAACCTCTCCTGTATGGCCTCAACATGTCAGCTGCACTCATTTCTGCACAGCCACTCAATGCCAAATAGGTAAAAGTTATGCTCCGTTACTACTTACAACTAGTTTCTGAACAATTTATACTACTATTTACAACACTGGTGATTAGAGCCCTGACACTCCCATGGAACTGCACCTGTTTATTCCAAGCTGAATTTAAGATTTATTTATCTTAACCTTTCCTCATAGATCATAATATTTTGTGCTCATATTTTGGTAAAAGTAGGTAGGCAGCCCTTGGATATTACTGCAATAAGCCCTACAGGGAAATCTAAGTTACACATAGTTTCCCCTCTGTTCCATATCTCATTGCCTAGAGAGGTCTTTTTTCCAAGCTCCTCCGAAAAACCCCAAGCTGCACAGAGTACCCTGAATGTGGTGGGAGTGCTGTAAAGGCAGCATGTTCAGTGCTGAAGGAGTGGGGTCAGAAAGGGATTGCTTTCTATTGCCCTAGCTTGCTGTGGCTGACTGAGTGGCAACATTAGTAAACTTTGGAGCAGGCTGCTTCTAAGTTGCCTCACAGTAGAGTGGAACATGGGGAAATGGTAGGAGGGTGCAGTCCTCAGGCAGAATTGATATGATACGATCATATTCTTGTAGCTACTCAGAAGTTGAGGACAAACTGATTTGGAGGGTAGGTATGAATGAAATACATTTATCTCCCATCCTTGTACCTTGACGTTCTCATGATCATACATGCCCACCCTTGTTCTTACCCTGATCAGCGGGAAGCTGTGAAGTCTTTTATAATCTGCCTCCTCCTTTTTCCCCTCCCCGGTGTCTGCCATGGTCCTTCCACTGTGACCCTGAGAGGGGGCAGAGGTGCCTACTTAGGACCAGCCAGATGCTGCAGTGCAGGTGGGCGAGAGGGATGGAACTCTCGAGAATCAGGGAGAGCACAGTTTCAGCAGAAGCAGGTGGTTCTCTGCCCAACTAGTTAAAAGAGGGGGGGGAAGAAAGTTTAATTTTAAAAAGATTCAGTTTGATCACTATGAGAAGCAAGATGTGAATCCTGCCATCTCCTCCATTGCTTACTGCTTCTCCATACCTTTTCCAGGGTATATAAATTAACCTGGAGAACTCTGTTACAAGATATTACAGAGACAAAGAGCTTACAAAAAGTTGTCACTTTCCATAGTCAAGACTTCAAATGTGCTGCACCTCTCAGGGCACAACTCCATAAAGAGACATAGGGCTCTGACTTGATGGCAGCTTGGTTGCTAGTGAAGGGGCAGGACACAGTGAAATTACAGCAATGCTTTCCAATAGCCGAACAGAGAGCATAGCATCAACCATCCCCTGCCTTAGGCTGTTGTCCAGTTCAGGACACAATACAGTTTGCAATGCGGCCAAAGTATGCATGCAACAGGAACAGATTTTGTGTGCATTTCAGGATGGAAATAGTTAATGGGTTGTTTTGGTTTGTTTTTCGACTTCTTTTTTCAACTCCAGGGTTTGCCAATCAGGGAAGTGCCACATCAGACTCTGTTGCACCACTTCTCTGGGCCTGTGCCTGGCCAGTCGCTCAGAAGGTGACGCAGTCCTACAGCACTCTCTGATGGGCAAATTCAGAACATTTCACCTTGGTCTCCTCTGGTTCTCCTATCTGGCATAAGACACTCCCCTATCCCCTCAAAGAAAACAGGAGCATTATAAGAGGTCCTGACAAGCTAATGATCCATCACTGGGCAATAACACACCCAGCACCTCTTTGAGGCCATAGTAAAGCCAGTCTACAGACACAATAACTGAAGTAACAAGTACTAGGGCTACGGATTCTCCCAGAAGGGATTGTGGGAGTTTTACACATCCCTCTGAAATACTCAGTCAGCACGGAGTCACAGATGGTGGAAGCCAGGATAGCAAACTAGATGGCTGGAATGAGGCAGTTCCTTTGAGTTGTTGCGGTGTTTCAGGTTTATCTCCCAAACGTCACACCCACAACCCCAGGCCCCATGACATACACAATCCAGCTCCGAGTCCTTCATATACAGCAGACAGTTTAAACACACAAACAGGTTGGGAAGAAATGCTGTTGAGAGGCATTTCACCCATAAGTCTTTTAATTTTAAATAGAGCTGGTTTATAACAACCCCACGGAAGCGTCCTTGGAGACCCGTTCCTGTTTTGCGGCATCAGACCCGCTTCTGAGCACAGCACCTCCTTCACACGCCCCCTGCTCCAGGCATCGGACCCACCTGACATGGGGGCGATGGGGGGTAGAGGGAAAAGATGGCCTGGATGGAGGAAAAATAATCACACACACACAGAGAATGCTTTGGGCCTTGGTGTTTTATGCAGGGATCCTCACTGGGTGATTGGCAAGGGCGGGTTATCAGAGCCCCCCCCCCCCCACACAGATCACAGGGGAGACCCCCACTGGGTGGCGAGGGCCATCAAGCCATAGAAGGACAAGAGCCTCCCCACACCCCATCACGGAGGGGCCCGGCAGATCGCACAGGCCGGGGGAGGGGTTATCACCAGAACCTAGAAGGGACTGGGGGGAGGGGACGGCGCTATCCCGGGCGGGGGCTGGACCCTGGCTGCGGCGGGAGCCCCGGCTGGGTGGGGTCCATGGCTGGGGGGTGGGGCCTGCCCGCTGACAGCCCTGGCTGGGGGGGGGGAGCAGGGGGCTGGCGGGGGCGGGGGAGGGACTCGGTCTCACCTGCGCCTCCTCGGCTCTGAACCCCAAAATATCAGCTTCGCTCCGTTGTTAGGAAGAGAGACGTGCTTGCCTTAGCAACCAGCGCCGGAAGTCCCGCCTCCCCTTTCTCATTGGTTGGTTTGGAAAATTCGAAACGTCTTATTGGTTCCAAGGTTTGTCGATGGCGTGAAAGGGTCCTTCCTCCTCCTCGGGGTTGGGGTGGTAGGCGTCCAATACCTGCCTGATCACATGTGAGCTCAAAGTATTGGGAGGGAGCCCCTGTGGCAGTGGTTCAGGTTCTTGAGGGGGTGTGCTCAGAGCAGGCACTAGCCCCTCAGCGTCACGGGATATAGCTCCCACGCCCTGGCACGGCACCCTGACAACACAGTGCCACCCACATAGCAAAACCCTGCCTGCAAGAGCATGACATTGAGGCTGCCGTGCCATGCCAGTGGTGTGCACAGCACCACCCACACTGAGATAGCAGGGTGCGGGGAGACCGCTGCACCGTGCACTTCCATGCCCTGACACCACCCATGCCATGACAGTATAGCACCAGAGGCTGCTCAACAAAATCTACAGCCCTAGGCAACACTTCCATGTGCCCCATAACACTCAAATTGACCCGGCTGCCAATCTGTCATGACAAAGGTGCGGCCAGGCCAAATGTGATTTGCTAGGCAGCTACAAGTGGCGTCACACGCTGGAGTGCGGTATTGCAATATCACTCAAATTGGCGCGGCGGCCCCTCTGTCATGATGGAGGGGCCAGCTGGATCAAATCTGCCACCCTTGGCAGCTGCCGAGGAATCTGCTACCCTAGGCAGGTGCCTAGCTGATATATAGCTAAAGCAGCCTCTGCATGGCACAGTGAGACCTGCATACCATCACATTGCCATGTCATGGCATAATCCATGCCATGACACTATGGCATTGTGACACGTCCATGCCACAACACTATCCATGCCACGGCGCCACTGAGACTGGCAATTCATAAAACTGCCCTACTGTCACAACACTGTGAGGGCATCATGCCTGGGCATCACTGTGCCACAGCACTACCCACTCCAAGACGCCTTCATGCTGCTGCAATGTGCAGACCTGCCATGCTGTGATGTCATGACACGTCTATGCCACCCCAACACCTTGTCTTCTCGTGCTGACATTACCTTGAGGTTCACATCCCTGTTCATTAGTCCTCTGCAACAAGATCATTGCATTAGCAGCAGTGCTGCAATGCCACCTCCTTCCCCCTTGGAGGTGAGGAGTGTAATATTTTCAAGAGACAATTCTTCAAATAGATCAGGGCAGTTCTGGGGCCACTTGAGGGCTTTATGAGCTATTTACAGCATTGCCACAGGCCATCGAGGTTTAAAAATGGGTACTGAGCCCAAAAAGGTTGCTAACCAATACTTTAGGGCTTGTCTACACTTGAAAGTTAATTAAGATTAAGGCAAGTTGTGAATTTACAGACCAATAGCTGTTCCTGAATAACTCTCTTAGTCTGGAATATGAGTGCTTTGTTCCTGTTTAGCTTTAACCCCCTTTCACCCATGGCTATGCCACTTCCTTAGCATGATTAAGGACAGTTGTGGCCTGGGAGAGGGATGCCCCTGGACACCAGATCTGTAGGGGAGGGGCCATTGCTACCTAACCTCAGGCTTTTGACTTGAGAAGGAGACTTTTCTAATCAGCCATCAAAACCTAAAGACCCTGAACTGTGCATTCTGATCAGACAGACTGCAAAGACAATAGACCTTGAGCTCTACCATTATCTGAACCCACTTAAATTTTGGATGTAATGTTTTCGGGTTTAAAAAAACATTTTTGATATTAGGCCTCCACCCCTTTTAAATAGCAGAGAGTGCGGCTGGGAAGGGTCTGGAAAATCTCAAGCTTTTGAGTTTCTCGTTGTAAACTCATTTGGGAGAAGCCTAAGACTTTCATGTTGGGGAGGAGAAAAACGCCTGTATGAATCTTGGGGGGTGAGGAGGGGTAGGGGAAGGGTGTTATGGTTCAACAAGAAGCTGGCGTGACACTAACCACTCCCCCCCCCCCCCCCCCCGGCCTCAGCAAAGACCTTTATACATTTCATTTCTGCTTGCTTTGAGGGTTTTCTATACCTGTAATTGTCTATGAAATCCTCTACGTCCCCAAAGTGATGCATCTCTCGCTATAGAGTAGGTCTGGTAAAAAAAAACAACAGAATTTCTGTCCTGTCAGAAATTCTGAGATTTTGAAATTTCATTTAGTCCTGAATTGGGATGAATAGTTGAAAGCTCAGCATTTTTTGCAAAATGAAATATTCTGAAAATATTTTGTCGCCACCTTATGAAAATGTTTCATTTCAATAAGGTTGAAACATTTCATTTTGACTATAATATAATACTAAGTAATCAAACAGTTTTAATGATTTCCCATTGAAAATTTGGACAAAATCAATATGTTCCTGTGAAACATTTTGATTATGTGGAATCAGCATTTTCGGATGGAAAACTATTCCTTCAGAAAATGTTGATCAGCTCTACTGTCCAGTTAGCCAAGCATTGACTCCCTTCTAAACTAGAGGTTGAACAATTTAATAGGGCCTTTGGGCTAGATTAGCCCAAAGTCAATACATGAATGGCGTCCCCACCAGCAAGCTCCAACAGCAACACCCTGAGGAGAAATTTAGCTCCCCAAGCCCAACTGCTAGGCAGGGTACAGGCCTTTTTAGTGGGATGCTGTCCTTGCACTCTGCTTGCAGGCTCCATCTTTCCTATCAGCTTTGGGTTGGATTTGTTTGAAGCTTCCGCCACCCCTGTCCAGCAGCTGGAAGAAGGAGCTCTCTCTCCCCAGAGATGAGTAGTGAGGAGTTCTTTCTGCTATTCTATCCAGGAGTGATTTCTAGAGGTAAGGGGCCATCCAAAAGAAGGCACAGAGGTAAGCATGAGAGAACATGAAAGGTGTAGTCAGATGCCCCTATCCCCAGCCTCCACATGGGTCTTCTTCCCCTCTGAATAACTTCAGTGCTCATCTAGGCTGCTGCTTATGCCTTTCCCAAGCAATAGTAGAGTGCCCTGACTCT